GTGAAAGCCCTGAGCTTCCTCCCCGACAAGCCTCAGGCAGTGACCCACACCACATCTGGCCTAAATTCACACACACACACACACACACACACACACACACACACACACCCCTTTAGTCTCATTTTACACACAAAAGCTCAAACTCCCGCTCTCCGCCTCATTGCAGGTGGGCATTTGGGAACATATTTATTCCTTAAGATGTCCGAGAGTCCCTGGGGGATACCAATGGTTAGAAGAGGCCCCATCCAGAATGGCCCTGGCGATAGGCTTTCCAAAGGTCACAGCCCTAGAATCCTGAAGGATGGCACCCAGGTTTGAGTCACCAGGACTCAGGGCCAACTGGTTTGGGGTTGGTTGCTGGCTTGTTTGTTAGGCCACCACTTCGCCACCACTTCACCACCACTGCTCATCGTCTCAACACTGTTTTCTACAGGTGTGTGTTTTAGTGGCCCTAAGTTTCAAGAGATGGTGCCTGGATGGCACTCGGCTCCTAAGGGAAAGGTCAACCGTTCGAATCCGCTATGGCTCCACAGACATGCTCCAGTAATGAGACCAGCCTAGGAAGCCCTACGGGGCCTTTTACCCTGTCACATCGGGTCCCTGTGTGTCAAGAGTACCTGAAAGATGCAAATGGTTCACATGCTCAGCTGCAACCAAACAGGCAGAGGTTCAAGTCCACCCTGAGGTGCCTCAGAAGAAAAGCCTGGTGGTTTCCTGGGGGGGAGGGGGGGAGATCAGCCATTGAAAACCTTCTGGAGTGGGTTTATGCAGTGTTTCCCTTTTAGGATTGTCTTGCTTCGCTCAGCAACGTGTTTGTACTGATCCCGCATGTTACAGCGTGTATCCAGGCAGTATTTCATGTTACGGCTGTGTCGTTTCCGTGGCATTCCATCTTGGGCATCTTTTCCGACGGCAGCTAAGTTGGTGGCTGACACTGAGGCTGTCTCCACTTTGGGGCCATTGTGACCAGCACCGAAATGACTGCTGGGGAACTGTGCCTGTGCCCATCGCTGTGTGCTTTCGCCTCGCTGCACCTGTGTCTCCACCCAAAGCCCGCTCACTGCCATCGAGTCCATGCCAACTCACGGCGACCCCACAGGACCGGGCAGAACTGCCCCTGTGGTTTCTGAGACTGGAACTCTCTCTCTTTCTTAATAATTTTATTCGGAGCTCTTAGAGATCTTATCACACTCCACACATCCATCCATTGTGCCAAGCATATTTGTGCATACGCTGCCATCATCATTTTCAGAACATTTTCTTTCTACTTGAACCCTTGGTATCAGCTCATTTCCCCCCACCCCCCTCCCTCCATCATGATCCCTTGATTATTTATAATTTTTTTTTTCAAGTCTCACACCCAACTGCTGTCTCCCTTCACCCACTTTTCTGTTGTCCATCCCCCTGAGGGGAGGGGGTATTATATGTGGATAATTGTGATTGGTTCCCCTTTCTCCCCGCACCTACCCCTCCTGGTATCACTACTCTCATTGTTGGTTCTGAGGGGTTGATCTGTCCTGGATCCCGTGTGTTACAAGTTCTTGTCTGTACCCGTGTACATGCTCTGATCTAGCCGGATTTGTGCGGTAGAATTGGAATCATGATGGGGGAGGGTGGGGAGCATTAAAGAACTAGAGGAGGGTGGTATGTTTCCTCGGTGCTATACTGCACCCAGACTGGCTCGTCTCTTCCTTGTGACCCTTCTGGTAAGGAGAAGTCCCGTTGCGGGACAGTAACTCTTTAGGGTAGTAGAAAGCCTCATCTTACCTCCAGCAGCGTAGATGGTGTTTACAAATTGCTCCCCATCTGGGTAGCAGCTCAACATAGAACCCACTGCACCTCCAGGGCCCCTGGGGGTCTCTACTAGGAAGGGGGAACTACCTAGGATAGGCAAATGTAGAGAGGCCAGCGTTTCCTGGGAGTGTGGGAGAGAGGGGGAATCGTTTGTTCAGAAATATTGTTTGTTGATGGGAATGGAAACTGGAGCAATGGACGTTGCTGACCGTTGCACAACATGATGAATGGAATTGATGTCCTTGAACTGTACGTAGGACTATCATTAAATTGGCAAATGTTGCATTATGCATCGCAGCGCTTAAACAAAAACCATGGCGCACGGTTCTTCAATACACACACGTCATACTGGACTAGGCACAAAGACTTTTAAGTTTCAACAGATCGACACCCTGTTAGCTGCCTCAAAGATGGAGACACAGACAAAGGGTGACAAAGTCTCGGATTCTCTTTGGCAAATTAATATATATGCATACATATATATGTATTAAAATCTCAGGTATTCCATCCAACTCCACTATCAGGCACAGATGGACATGCTCTGCAGAGGGAACGTGGCAACAGTTCGGGATGTCATTTCTGAGCTTCCGCTGTGCTTTGTAGCCTACCTGCTTGGGGGCTCGGTGGGGCAAAAATCATGCTGAATATCCACCACTTGGGAATGAATTGGAACAATGAAAGGATCAGAAGTCCCGTGTGTGTGTGTGTGTGTGTGTGTGTGTGTGTGTGTGTGTGTGTGTGTGTGTTTTAATGCTCTAACAATATCTTAGATAACTGATTTCTTTCTATTTCATCCTTGCTGCGGAATAACCTCTCTACAAACTTCTTTAAAGGCTGAGTGAATGTACTTGAACCCCCCTCCAAAAACATACTAATGAGAACCCTCCCCACGCCAGGACTCGCATCTGCGCTGAGCCATGAGACACACCATGGCTGTTTGCTCTGCTCCATCCATGGAACGCTACGGAAAGACCATTTTTCCGGAGTCGTCTAACCAGGAAGCAAAAGCCTCTGCCAGCCTCGCCAGCTGTTCACGGACTCGCCCACAGGTCCCTGAAGAAGTCACCTCACTAGAAGTTCCTCTCGTTTTAGGGAGCTGACTCAGTATGTCCTTCTGGGGCTTTAAAAGCACGTCAGAGGGCCTCATTGTTAGACGCCTGCCCGGTTTTGAACTGAGGCGACTCACTAGCCCTGACATGACGTCCTTTCAGCTAGAAAGGAGCATGTAGCGACGGCTTTCAGCTGCACCAAAGCTAGGTCTTTCACCCTTAAACTTTCCCCAGAGTGTTTCTGCTTGCCCTCAGGTCAGTTCTGACTCACAGCGACCCATGCAGCTCAGCAGAACCGCTCCCTGCAGTTCTGTCGGGCTGTAAGGTCTGCATTGCAGCAGACCGACAGCTTGTTTTCCCATCCTTGGAGTCACCGTCGAGGGCTTAACCAGTGCGCCACCAGGGCGCCTTATTCCCCCCAAATAACGGAATTCTTCTTTTTTTTAAAGGAAAGCTCTTGAAGAGCAAAAGGGGAAGATGAGCCAGTAGCCTGGACCCTAAACACCATTCAAACTTGACCTAGAAAGTATAAGAAAACACTAAACCTTCCCTCATCAGCCCACAAATACCACCAAACACCAATGACCACCTAGCAGCCCACACCGGCTACCACTTCCACTGCAGCTCACCCAGCTCAGCACACGGCACCGTCTGCCCTTCCCAAGTTAACAACTCATCCGGTTAGGTCTGAGGATGCCAGGGGCCCACGGAGCCGTGCGAACAAGACGGGGGGCTTTGGCTGCTGCTTCAAAAACTATAACCATCAGCATCCCCAGAATTAAAGTCGATGACCTAGGAGTCCGTGGTGGGATAAGGACGGAATCAATCCATCGGTGGGAGAGGAGAGGTGGCTTTTCCTTGGGGAAGAACCCTGATGAATGAATGTAGAAAGAATGCATGGAACAGGAGCTCACGGTCAGAAACATCACGAGATGCAGGTCAGATCCGGAGAGAGATGCTAAAAGGAGCAGACGGATGGTTGTCTAGGAAATGCTGGCTATGGGTGTGGTTTTTCATTTGACAGCGAACACTGCCTTAACCAGGGCTGAGGTGGGCATGGAGGAGAACTCGGCATGCTCACGGTTTTCTCGACTTCAACCCCAAAAGCACACTGTCAATCTAACAAGGAGATAGGGTCAGACAAAGGCACGCTGAGGAAGGTCGGTGACAGGGGGTGGTCAAACGACTACAGCCCATGGGCCAACGCTGAACACAGCCACACTCGCTCATTAGCACAGTGCCTACGGCTTTGGCGAGAACACGGTGAGGTTGCTGCAGGACGGTGCCACAGAGATCAGAGGGCCGGCAAAGGGGAAAAGCGAGCATGACATAAGATCCTGGAAACGTTTGAAATCCTGCAAGAATGCAGCGAATGTGTCACAAGAGGGAGTGCGTGTTGCTGGTAAACGGACGTCAACACACTTGCCTTTTGCAGGGTTGACACACACCTTCAATTCACGCAAAACCATACGCTGCAAAGCACGCTCACCCACGGTGTGGCTGCACGTGGCTATGCAAGATGTTACCACTAGGGGAAGCCGGTGGAACGCGTGCAGAAACGTCCCGTGGAGGCTAAAATGATTTCAAAAATGAAAGCTAAGGAACAGGCAATGAACTAGCAGCTGCCACCCCTGGCCGGCATCAATCTCACAATTACCCTGACGGAGCGAAAACCACTGCCAATTCTCACTCCCAGCAAGACCACAAAGGCAAGTTCCTGAGACTGTCCATCTGTACCCGAGCAGAAAGTCTCACCTTGTCTCCTGTGGAGCGGCTGGTGGGCTCTAACTGCTGACCTTGAGGTGACCAGCCCAAAAGATACCGCAGCTCTTGTTGATGGAGCTTAAAGGCAAATGAAAACCAATTCCAGTGTTACCGACACTTGCTGCCGATGAAGAACTGAAGGAAGAAAGGGTTCGCAGAGGGCACAACCTTTCTTCAAACGGCAAAGCAGTCACCTGCTAACCTACAGGAAGGTGGTCCGACCCCCACCCCCCGCCACCCTGCCGTGACTGTGGGAGAAGAGACCTGAAGGGGGGTACGGGGTGGTCTGCTCCTGTAAAAATAAACGCCCAAACCAAACCAGTTGCCATCCTGTTGCCTCTGACTCACAGGAACCCAGAGGGTTCCAATCTCCATGAAAGCAGCCCGCCTCACCTTTCTCCTGCAGAACCCCTGTTGGCGGGCATGCGCTTCACCCCTGTGCCGCCAGGATCCTGTGGTTCAAAGTACCGCCTCTTTCCACTCTGTCACACAGGGTGCTGGGAGTCAGGATGGACGGGCTGCACCCGGTGGAATCCGTGCTTCCATACTGCCCTGGAACATCTGACTAAGGCTGGGGCACTCCGTACTTCAACGTAAAGTACTAAACCAGAGGGACGAAGAACTAGGCCCAGGCCAGCCCTCAGGGCCTAAAGCAACCCTCAACAAGAGGGGGTTGGGGACTGCTACCTGAAGATGTTCTTGAGAGCACCATTGCTGAAGGGGCCCTGGTGGCAGAGGGGGATTACATGTTGGGCTACTAACCAAGAGGTCAACAGTTCAAAACCAGCCCCACTATATGGGAAAGAGACGAGGCTTTCTATTCTACTCCCATAAAGAGTTACCATCTCAGAAACCCATAGAGGTAGTTCTACCCTGTCCTATAGGATCGCCATGAGTCAGAATTCATTGGCAGGGAGTTAAGTTGACCACTTATGGACATGGTGGGTAGGCTGGGGCAGAGCCCACAGCAGAGGTGACCTTGTCTGACAGCAGAGAGAGGTCGGACTTGTTCCCGGGACAGTCACCCTCAGGGCCAGTTCTGTCACCAACTCTGACGAGGGAGGGGAATGGCTTCAGCAGGCCTGTCCCTTCTTCACTTGTGCAGAGACATTCCCGCAAGGTCATTACTCTTCTCTCCCCACCACAGACTGCCCCTCAGACACATACGTGCCACACAGACTCAAGCTCTTTAGTGACAGATAACAAAGCACGCAAATAATTGTGGCACAATCGGTAGATACTGAGGCCAATGGGCCAAAACAAGAGGGGTGGGGCACAAAGGAGGGGCAGGAGGCGGGTGCATGAGCAGTTCTCCCCTGCCAGGGGCAGCCTTGTCAAGGACATGCACAGGCCACCTGCACCTCCCTGCAGCCTCCCCACAGCCCTGGAGCTGAACCAAGGCTGGTATCTGGGCCATCAAGGTGCTCAGACCCTCCCAAGGGCCCCACACCTCCAGCCATCAGGTGAGCCGTCCCTGAGGACACACACCATAGGACAGAGTGCTGGAGCCCAGATGGCTTAGCCATGTATTAGTCTCAGAGGGGCTCAACACCCTGGGCACCTCCCAGGTGCAGCTGGACACAAGCCGCCAGGAGGCCAGAGACCATCTATCATGCCCAGCCAGGAGGAAGAGGAAGACAAGAAGGAGGCGGAGAAGGCACCAGCTGACCTGCCCTCCCCACCCCTTTTGAGAAACAAGCCCCCCGGGCTGGGGAAAGCAGGCAGCAACCAGTGCCATCCGGAGGTGGAAGAGACTGCGTTTTATGAATGGGCCATTTGGACAGGAAAACAGCCCTCGGGCCTTCCCGGGGCAGTGCCCCCTCCCGCGAAAATTCCTCCAGGCCCATCTGCTCGGAAGAGGCAACACACCCAGAGAGCAAACCCACCACCCACTCCCGGCTTCCGCCCCAACGCCACATTCCGGTCACTTTGCCAAACCAACTAATTGCTCTCCCCGAGGGCGCCTGCGTGACAACAGGTGCCCGGCTCCTGAGCCACCACTCACAAAGTCTAGATTTCGTTGTTTTTAAGTAGCCCGTGCAATGGTTTTAAAAGTCACTGAAGAAGCAGCCCGGCCCTGCTGTCTCCCCCCCTAGGTAGACATTTCAGAAGAGGAGGTGAAAGGAGCTGTGGGCAGTGGGATGGTGGTGCCCTCCGCCCACCTCTGGCATGAACCAGCCCGGATTGTGAATGACAATCACCACCTGATCACCGCCGCGGCCATCTGCGCACTGGGCCTGGGTGCTGGGGCCGGAAGCAGGTCTGCATGTGCCTAAGTCTGTCAGGGCTGGAGGAAGCCAAACCTGCCTCCCAGCCCCCCCTTGGATCAACAGCTCGGCCTCAGACGGACAGACCTCCAGCCCTCTGCGTCCACCTGCTCACTCCTGCGACCCCGCCTCCAGACAGGATCTGAGCCTTCAGGAAGGACTTGCACACAGGGACATGTGATTGCTCAGCCACCCCTGGAAGACAGACAGACAGCACAGGCAGGCTGTGGTGTTAGGAGCCATGCCTCACACACAGACTGCAATAACAGAATCCTGACTAATTAGTCATGTGAAAAATGGCAGTAACCACACCCCTGACTGAGCAGTCACTACATGCCAGGTACTGTACTAACCTCCTTACACAGCCTCCATCCCAAGCCCAACCCTGGAAAGAAAAGAGGAGGACTTGGGCATGGAAATCCGAGGTTCCAGTTTACAAATGTGAAAACTCAAGGTCACGGGTCCCAAATTCCCCATCTAAATCCACATGACTATGCTGGTGCTCATCATAGCAACTAACATATCTCCATACCTGGGCTTTCACCCACTGCTCGAATCCACAAGGAGCCTCACCGTCTCCAGATGTGAACATGAATTTGTGCTCCAGGTCTGCTGACCTGGAGTAAAACCAGTTACGCTCAGAGTCAGTGGTATTGGTGACACTGGGACTCCTGGTCCAGTGCTCATCCTACACCGTCACCCCGTGACATGTCACCTCTTGAAGAAGTATGAAGTGATTCCACCCCCCAACGTTCTCCGGCTGTCCATTCCTCCTAAAATAAAATCTGGATCTTGAAAAACTCTTTCTAGTTGTCAAGCTCAGCCCCTCAAATTCCAGGTGTCAAAACCAAGTCTCAGAGAAGCCCAGCTCCTTGATCAGGGGGCGGGGAACACAGAGAGATGGCGAGCAGGACACCTGGCCTTCCACGCTCCAGGCTGCTTCCCAGAACCAGGCCGCTGCGTGTGACCAGATGTGAGCGCAGGAGGAGTCACCCCACTGGTAGAGGAGCAGTCACCCAATCACATGGCTCACCCCGACACAGGAAGTCTCTTCTCCAGGGCCAACAGGGTAGGTGTGACGCCCAATGAAGGAAACTGAACTTCTGTACAGCAGATTCACTACTGATGGGCGCAGTGTGGCCTGGACTCAAACATTTGTCTAGGAACAGGATTGCAATTGCTGACACCCTCATGGCCAATTCATAGCAACTAACGTATTTGAGTGTCTTGTCACCTAAACATGTTTTGCACAACCATTTTTAAACGTTGCCGTCTGGTCAGCTTCTTATAGAATTTGCTTCGTTGGCATATGCATATGCAAGACTATAAATTCCACCCCATAAGGACCACGTTTATGTTGTTCATGATTCAGCAGCTACTGCTGCACGTAGCACGTAAATGGGCATTCAAGGCGCACGCCTCTGAGTTAAAAATGAATTCAGGAATAAAGTGTCCCCAGGCTGGGCTAGGACAACAGCAAGTGATGGGAGGTAAGAGCCTCTTTTGCTTCAGGAAAAGTAGTCCAAGAGGCGGCTGCTTTTTTGTCAGGCTGACACCGACCGTTGTCTTTGGCCAAACACCCACCACATGAAGTCAGACACCATGAGGCAGGAGAAGTTGCACATCAAATCCACCAACCGTTTCAACAGATTCCCCGGTTCGACGTGAGCCTGTTTGAACCCTTGAAAACCCAGGCAATGGCCCACGCTCCCAAACACAACATAGCGGCAGGTAAATTTGCACATAACCATTTGATGTTAGCTTTATTTGAAATCTTTTAAAATCCTTTAGTAACTCTGGAGCCCTGGGCTCTTTCGGTCAAAAGAAAAGGAAATGGAAATCAGAAAATAAAAAGCCATCCCATGGGCTTTCGCTGTCTAGCCTTGGAGTTCTTAGAGGAAGCAGCGGGAAGAAAAGATGACCGCGTGCACAGTCCGACGTGTGCTGCAGTCCCTGTGTGCCGTGCGCCAAGTGCCTTTCCTACCAGGGATTCTGAGGGTGATTTCCCAAGGAACACTCCAGCTCTTAAAAACACCCGTTTTCTTCCACTCTTCCTGGGGAAGCGTTCTGCTTACAAGTTGCTTGCTTAAACGCCTCTGTTATAATCACTCCATACGTTGCTCGACGTGACAGACTTTTCACTGTACTACTTTCTAACTCTCCTCCCTTCCGCCAGGCGCAGGGCAATCAGCTGTGGCCGGCACCACCAGGACAAAGGCAGGGACAAAGGCAGTCAGCACGTGTCTAGTCCCTGGAATGCACAACTGGCGCCTGGAGCTGCCTGACAGCCCAGGGGCAATGTCCTGACTTTACCTTCTCTGTTTTGGAGGGCAAAGGGAAAGACGGCCACTTCCTGGAGCCCCACATTGGGAATTTCAAATCCACTCCAGGGTGCTCCTGAGAAGGAAGTGGGCTGGCTTCTCCTTCTCCGGCGCCTCTTGGTCACCCTGCATGTGCCTGAGAAAAAGAAGCCGCAGCTATGTTCCCGATCTGCTTACTTCCTGCACACAGTCCTCCCAACAACTGTGGCTGGTATGGGACTATCCCTCCTTATAAATGAAGAGAATGGAGGCTCAAAGAAATTAACTCCCCTCCACCGTTAGCAGGGGGAGAGCCAGACTGTGAACCCACATCTGCCTGACTCACAAGGCTGGGCCCCCCAGAAGCCAAGGAGTGCAGAACCTCGTGCATGCCTGCCCTCGGGAGCTCTCTGCTTCGGGCTTGCTGCTTGTGGTTTTTGCTGTCAGTGAACTAACTCCTCCATGCCCTTCCGGAAGCACATGGTCAGGTCTGTCTTCGGGTCCCCTCTGGGTGGCTTGGAAGTGAGTGCCTCATCATGGGTACCACCCAGGGAGCCACCACTGTCACTAAGGGGAGTCAACAACGCCTGCGAAGAACAAGGGCTCTGAAGCAGCTGCCTGGCCGGGTCCGCTTTAACCCTGCTCTGCCACACAGCAGCTACCACACACTTACCTTCTTTCTCTCTCAGTTCCTCTGCTGGAAAGCGGACAAAGTAACTGTCAAATATTTCATAGGGTTCTCTTAGTATTAAGTAGGACACTGCATTCAAAGCCCTGAAAACCAAACATAAGCACACAATCTTTGCTAACTACATAAATGGTGGTGGTGGTGGTGGTGGTGATAGGGTGATGGTCATGGTGGTCGTGGTTGGTGATGGTCATGGTGGTGGTGATAGTTGTGGTGATGAGGGTGGTGGTGCTGGTGTGATGGTGGTGATAGTTGTGGTGGTGG